TAAAATACTTTGTTACGCTATTGATCGGCATAAAAGAAAAAAAGGACATTTTCAATAAACAATCGGATTGAATGAAACCAAATAAAAATAATTTTCAGCCTAATAACTAGGTTGTAACTTGTTGCGTTGCCAACAGGATTAATGTAGTTTAAATCAAATATAACAATTAATATTTAGGTAAATTATATATATTAATGTTAATTATTAATAATAATGAAAAAATGATAATAAAAAAAAATAAATTGAGAAGTAAATAAATAATGAAAAAAAAAAATTCAACTTAAAGAAACTGAAAAATAAAATATTTTTAAAAAAAAATTAAAACCAATTAAAATCATCTTTTTTTTTTAGTTTGAAAAAAAAAACTGAAAATAAAAAACCAATTTTTTTTCGGTTTGAAAAAAAAATTTTTTAAATTTCGGACTATAAGAACTAGAAAAAGGTATTTAAAAATTAATAAAATTTCCGGTTATAAGAACTAAAAAAGTATTAATTTTCCCAGTTTATAAGTACTGACATTTAACTATAATAAATATGGAATAAATTGGGCGCAGAAGTATCACCCGTACATTAACCCCAGTGACACCCGAAAAAATTCCGCAATAGTAATTTTATTCATCACATGTGTCACGACTGTCACGTCCCTCTGTTTTCCATTTTCTACAAGTATCTGAGGGACTTAGTTTTTTTCGATTAGTCAAAATCCTATTTGTCACGCCCTTAGTCGTCACTGTTTATTCACGTGTTACTGCATAGTGCCGGCCCTGTGCGGAATTTTTTGGGCAGATTTTCGGGTGTCATAGGGGCAGTTCACGCATACAATTCAAGTCGAAATAAAAAAAATCGGCAGTCAATGATGCCGGCCAAATTTCAGCAATTCCGGCTGAAATTTTGGTAAAATTTCGACCAGCATTAAAAACCGGTTAAAAAATTGGCCAAAATTATATTTGCCAATTTTAATCTCATGTGATATGTGAAATTATCCAGATCATCTACTTGAAAAATTCATATATCGGAAAAACGTTTGTCTATATGTAAAATTAAAATCTTCCTTCTTCCTTCTTAGTCTTTTTTGAAGGCTTAAGTAAAGTTATAGTATAAGATAATAAAATACACATTCTGTGAAGTTTTCAAGTTCTTAGATATATATGAAGAATACCTTTTTAAAATTTGCCGATTTTTACAGAAAAAAAAATATTCCTATAAGATAACTACTAAATAAATTAGTTTATTTCAAAATTAATATTTTTATCATATATTTTATAATATTTTTAATACAAAAATCAAAAAAAAATATTTGGTTAATTAGTAGAATTTTATGTATATAAATAATTAACAATGTTGAAAATTGCTTGCAAAATTGTATGCAATTTTTTTAAAAAATGTTTGTATGTAAAGTCAAAATCGGACTTCAAAACATTCTTTAAAAGCTTTAAGTAATAAAGCAAGAAAAATTACACTTAATAGGTAAATTTTAAGATTATAGGGTAGGTTATGAGGAATGCAATATAATTAATAATTGATTTTTCTGAAACTCCAATTTTTAAATATAAAACTTTTACCTATAAAATAATTATATTTTCTAGTGGTTTAATATAAAAAATTTAAAAAATTTTGGGTTAGTAGAATTTTAATGTAAATAAAGGTTTAAACACTTTTACACGCAATTTATACCAAATATTTATCAATATATAAATTCAAAATCTGACATCTAAACATCCTTTATAATCCAAGTAAATTTGTAGAATTAAAGCAAAATACACATAATATCTAAATTTCAAGATTCTAGATTATATACATAAGGAATGTGATACAAATAACTTCTTAAAATTTATCAATTTTTACATAAACAAAAATTCACCTATAAAAGACAACTATTGAAATAATTGTTTATATAAACAAATAATATTTTTATCACATATTTTATAGTGTTATTAGGTTAATTAATGAAATTTACATATATAGATAATTAAACAATGTTGTGATAATAGAAAAATATATAAAATAAAGAAAAATTATATAGAAAAATATAAATATAGATTATAAATATTTGAAAAAAAAATCAGTTTTAAAAAAAGAAAAAAAATCAAAAAAATTAAGTAACATGCATTCCTTTATTCAGAATCAGTATGTATAAAGTAGGCAATTTTCTTTACTTTATTCATTAAATCAAAAATTTTTTTTGATTATTTAATAAAAAAGAATATAAATAAATTATTATTTTAGATGTCACTAAACCGATGTTTGAGTCATTTATGATTAACGCATTTTTAATTTTTTTTACTTTACAATTTGATTTTTTTTTTTACTTTACAATCTTCTAAATTTACTTTAATAAAACCTTTCTTTTTAAATTTTCTTGTTTAACAAAATAATTATGAGTGAACTATATCCTGGACATAAGGATAAACACATAACTTTGTAATTATGAAATTCGCGTATTAAATGTCATTTGTGATAAAATTTTTTTTTGGTAATGTACTAAAATATATAAAAAGTGTTCGGGTGAACATCAAAAATTCTCAGGCAACCCGAAATATGAACCGATTAAATTTCTTATTCAGATATCCAGTACATTTTACATTACTGATTCAACAAGAATCAAATTAATCAAATTGCTGTAATTAAATATTTTTTTTCATGAACCCTTAATTGGGGATCTACTTTTTTTATTATCTTTTTTAGATCAGTAATCGGTAACGTAAATTTTTTATTTGTTTCATCTATACTAAAACAGACGACTTCTGTAAATGAAAGACTACATAACTGAATTCACATCATCCAGTGATCCAAAGTCGACATACGAAAATTTTCTTTCAATTGCAATTTTTACAAGTTATATATGCTTAACTAATAAGTGTGAATTTAAACATGAGAATTCACTTCTATTATAAAATTATTATAAGATGAAATAAATATAAAATTTATAATTACAATACACGTTCAGTTAAAAATTTCCATTTATAATAACTATTTATTACCATAAATAAAATTTTTGAATTATATACAAACATAACTTAATTGTAATTATCATTAACATTATTAGCCCTGTTCAACTCCGGTCGGTTGCAATTTTCGGCCATACGCAGAATAAACCATTCTATTGGTGAAATGCGTTCAGTCAAAAAAACCAAAAAATTTTATGGAACAAAGGTCGGATATTTCATGTGTAATAATTTTCAAATTAAATACGTGTTATTCACATATTAATTTTATTTCCCAGTGATCTACCGTTCAAAATAAATCATTTACGCTTGTAAAATAAACAAATATACTCAGAAACCTTTAAACCTTTTGAAAAAGTTTTCAAACTTATTAAATATTGATTAAGTTATATAGACATGATTAGTCATGTGATATTATTAGTCACAACGTATATTTTATGACATTCGTTAAGCATTACATGTTATTAAAATATTATAAGTTATCAATAGAAATAAAAATTTATAAAAATTTTATTATTTAAAGTTTCAAACGATACTTTATTCACTTTATTAAATACAAAAAAAAAAAAAAGCTAAGTGAATTAACGATCTAATTCTTCTTGACTATTACTTTATATAATATATTCCATAAGAAAGGTACGGCTATCCGAGACCAGGATCTATTTACAATGTCGCAAGAATGTAAAGATGAAATATCATCTTGTAATTCAAGCATAATCAATAAATTGAACCATAGTTATATTCCTTTTATTAGATCTAGAATTAATAATCTAATTCTTCTTGGCTATTACTTTATATAATTTTACATGTGATTTCCTATCAGAGAGATAATATATTTCCATAATAAAGGTACAGCTATCCGAGACCAGGATCTATTTACAAGGATGCAAGAATGTAAAGATGAAATATCATCTTGTAATTCAAGCATAATCAATAAAAGGATATCTGCATAAAGTTGAACCATAGCTATATCCCTTTTATTAGATCTAGAATTAATAGTCTAATTCTTCTAGACTGTTACTTTATACAGTTTTACATGTGATTTCCTATCAGAGAGATAATATATTTCCATAGGAAAAATACTGCAATCCGAGACCAGGATCTATTTATTCATAAGGATGCAAGAATGTAAAGATGAAATATCATCTTGTAATTTAAGATCAATAAAAGAATATCTGCGTAAAGCTGATCCATAGCATTTTCTTATTGCTTTGCGGAGAGATCCAAAGCCAAAGTATTTCAAATCCGTCTGGTATATTATCTACTGAGATAGAGTCTACTGGAGAGCACTGATTACAATAAAGTTGTCTTTGTACCTCATAATGCTCATTATCAAAATCATCGCTAAGAATCATTGTTAATGTAAACAACTTTCTTGAATGTACAAAGTCAAACTCTGAATTGTATATCATCAATTCATTTAAGTCATTAAAATCATCTCCATATTGAATTTTAATGAATTCCAAGTATTGACAATTAATTAATATAGTTTTCAATACAATACTCATTGGTTGATAAGTAACGTTAACACTATATTCAACAACAACCCTCCACAAAATTCTAACAGAAATTTCACACAAAAGACGATTAACTGATAAACATGAATGTAAGGCAGTTATGTCATTCTCTAAATTTTCCAAAATTTCATGTAAACAGTCGAATAAAAGTTTTTTAATAAGCTTATTGGCCATTTTATATCAATGAAAGATTTTTGAGTTTAAAATTTAAAATTTTTAAAAAACGCAACGCATTAACTCCTTAATGTATTATATACAGCGTTGTGCATTATGATGTAATTTGCTGCATAATAAATGAATTGCATTGTGTGACATTTGTGACATTTCTTTCTTTCACGAAATTTTTTCCGATGTAGATCAATTTGACATATGATCAGTAATCATGATCATTTGGCCAAAATTAGCGTTAATTTTAGCCAAAATGATTGACATTCCGATCATCAAGTGAGTCAAATCCGCCCATATGTTCTGGTCCAAATTTAATTCTGTCACAAATTAACTCTGGCCGACTTAAACTTCATATAAAAAATAAAAGTTGTATTTTTTTCAAATTAGTATTAGGTAATATCGAAAATGCAGTTGAATATTACATATCCAAAACCACCTAACTATTTGTAAACTTATTTGAATCGTTGTCATTTTCAGTTTTTGAATATATTATTGGTATTTTTTTTTTTTAAAAAAAATGTATATATAATAGGTTGGCGCTAATGATATCTATAACGAGTAATTTAGAATTGGAAAGATAATGATTACAAAATTTGGCTTCCAATTATTTTCATATCATTAACCAGTGAATCCGATAATGTCGCACAAATAATGATTAGGCGCAGTAAGTTCAAAAAATCACAAGTCACGTGAGATCAGATACAATATTACGATAACCATTTAACAAATAAGGGATTACGGTACATTTTCGCCGAAATCCATCTAAGTTCAGTAGTCGCCTACGGCCTTCGAGGACAATCAGACCTTTCAGTTGGTAAGGAGCTAGGAAAAAGTACGAGGAGAAAGTAGAAAGTAAACTTGGCTGCTGGGACGAACTACCGGCGGAAGGAGTAATAAAAGGATTAGGTTCAACTAAGTATTTATGCGACTTGATGTTTATATTCAAAGAAAACTTTCTTGACAAAAATACTTACATTTTCCTTGGACGAACGAAAATGATTTGAATCACGTAAGTACGAGGATCGTTGAAGTAACCAAGGAACGAATAATAGAGGGGAAATTAAGAAACTAGGAACAAAAAAATAATTATCGTCGATTTTTCAGTATGTGCAACGTCGGATTCAGAGAAAAATTTTCCGATAAATCACGTAAAATATCCGACCATCCCGTGGTATTGGAAATAAGTTACAGCAAATATGATATATAGAGAAATTTAGTATCAAAAGATCCTTTGAATATAAAACTGTGAAGGCAAAAATATGTTTTACGAAACAACAAGATGACAAATATATTAATGGTGGAGCGAATATTGTTGTTTAAACGTAACCAACGTTTTTATTTTTAAGGGTTTTAGATGCTAATCTACCAGCAAGCGAAGTGAAAAATATATATAAGTGGCAGGTAGCGAAGAAATTAGAGGAGAATGTCACGAAGGATCATAATGAAACGAATTAATTAAAGAATACATTAGAAAGTACAAGGGTCATTTTACAAACATTATTAAAGTATACAAAACAAATTATATTTTAATATACTTTAGTAATGAAAATGACATGATGAAAGCTATTTACGAATCCGTCAACGACCACGAATAAGATAGGAACGGGTTTACAAATAAAAGTTAAGATGAATTACTGGATAGAAACGGCAAATCCGGGCAGTTGAAGCGGCAAACAAAATCTGAATAAGCGTCGTTAGTACGTCGTCTAGTTTGGACGAACAATTTTTTGAAGCGGCGGAAGACTTGCCGTGAATAGATAATAAATAATAAATTAATATTATAATTTTTGATGTGACCTGCATTCATTATCTTAAAATAGTTCTGTGTGAAATTTGGGAAGGCTACTTGGGTAAATTTACTAAGGGTTATTACATTGTTTTACATTATATTTCAATTTAACAAATCTTTTCTTTCTTTATTATTCAGGAATGTTTCTAGTGTAAATTCAGGAGGAATATCTTGGCTTAGATTTAAGAGAAAATATAACAAAGCATTAGAAAATGGAAATGAAGAAATACTATATAATTTATATAACTGCTACAAATTGGGAAAAGAATTGAAAAAATAAATTTAAATTTGTTATTTATTATAAAGAAGCAAAAAGATTAGGTATTTTAACAAATTATTCGAATTCATATTTTTTTATTATATTATCTAGGATCTATCGATGTGGGAGATGCTGCCCTGATCAGGAAACGATAGTACCGAACTTCTAGATTGGAAAGGGAATTTATCTTGCCTGAAAATTGACCAAATGTTACATTTCTACAATAATCCTTTTTCTAACATAAGATTGTTTATATTGTATTTTCATTGTAAAATTCAAGGGCTAAGTTGCTTAGTTAAAGCCTTAGTTTTGTTTTATATTTTTGCAAATTCTATTAATATTATTAAGATTTAACATTTATTGCTTTATTCATCATTTAAAATTGTGTTTTTATTGAAATTTAGTTTTATTTTTTATGAATATAATGGTATGCACCCTAAAACATCCAAATCGTGCCGTAACCAAAACATCATCCCTAGTTAAAAAAAAAAGAAAAAGTATATCTGCCTTTACATTTTTGTAACTCTTGAAAATCTAATTTTATTAATTATTGTTCAACACTTTGTTCCAGTCAACTAAATATAATAAAGCATAAAATATTAGTTCAATACTATATCTTAATAAGTAAAGAATTATACTATACTACTTACCGTGCAAACTTGAAAAGGATTGAACATATTCAAAAGATTCGTCACTAGCTTGTGATTGCGAAGTTGCATTATCATTATCCATAATAATAAACATTCCATTTTATTTTTAACAATATATTATTGGTATAAATAAATATATAAATATGAATAATAAATAAATACCCTTGACTAATTTGCTTGTAACATCATTTACAAAACCCATTTTTTTAAATTCATCTAATATTTCATTAATAGTTGGTCTTTGTTTGGGTTCTTGATTCCAACAATTTCTATAGAGATTTTCATATTCTTTAGGAGTACCAAAAACTGTAGCCTTATGAATATTAATAATAGGAAAAATAATATTACTATTATCTGGAGGCTTTCCTCTAGAAATTTCCCACATCAATACACCAAAGCTATAAATATCTGAAGACTTGGTATATTCAAAATTTGGATCAATAAAACGGTTTGGCTCCATATAAGCAATAACACCAAAATTACCAACATAAGCTGTTGAAGCTAAACTATTTTGATTTTTTGAAATACCAAAATCCGTGATTTTAACATTACTTTCATGAATAACTATATTTTTAGAATGCTAGGAGAAAATAAATTAGATAAATACATTATTATTACTAGTACTATTATTATATAAAGAATAACTACTTAAATACTACTTACAAGATCTCTATGCAAAATATTTTCATTGTGTAAGTAATTTAATCCATCAGCAATTTGAAATGCTAATTTTTTCTTATCATTCCATGTCAAATTCTCAAAATTATTTTTGAGATAATTTTGGAGATCTCCGTCATTAGCATACTCCATAATAAGAAGATATTCATTTGTTTTTGGTTCTAAAAAAAAAAATTTATAGGAAGTTAAAAAAAATAACAAAAGATACAATGCAAAAAAATATATCAATTACCTAAACTGATACCAAAGCAACGTATAATTCTGTCACTATAATTAAGGTGCAAATGCATTTTTAGTTCATGAATAAATGCATCTAACAAATCATTCTTAATATAAGTTGTATTAGTCAATTTTTTACAAATTACATAATTATTAGTCTTAATCCAAATTGCTTTTGATATTTTTCCAAACCCCCCTGCCTGAAGTGGCTCTACCTTTTTTAGTTCTTTATAAGATATAAATTTAACTTTTTCATACTTTAATGCTTTTTCAATCCATTCGGATGCACTTAAAACTCCATTTTCTGCTCTTTGAAACCAATAAATAGATTTTTCCAAATCTTTTTCTACTCCTTTACCAGTCTTATAAAGAAATCCAAGTTTATACTGTGCATCATTAATTCCTTGTTGAGCTGCTTTTTCATACCAACAACAGGCTTTTTCTATATTCTTTTCTGTTCCTATTCCATTTTCATAACATGTGGCTAAATTAAACCATGCAACATTATCACCATGTTCTGCTGATTTTTGATACCAATAAAAGGCTTTTTCTAAATTAATTCCTGTTCCATTCCCCCTTTTATAAAATAAGCCTAAATAATTCATTCCAACTTTATTACCATTTTCTGCTGCTTTTTGATACCAATAAAAAGCTTTTTTGAAATCTTTTGCTGTACCTTCTCCATTTTTATAACATTCAGCAAAATAAACCATTGCATTTATATCATCATTTTCTGCTGCTTTTTGATACCAATAAAAAGCTTTTTCGAAATTCTTTTCTGTTCCTACTCCTTTTTTATAACATTCGGCTAAATAAACCATTGCAACTATATCACCATTTTCTGCTGCTTTTTGATACCAATAAAAGGTTTTATCTAAATTCTTTTCTGTACCTTCTCCATTCTTATAACATATGGCTAAATCAAACATTGCAACTTTATTACCAGTTTCTGCTGCTTTTTGATACCAATAAAAAGCTTTTTCTAAATTCTTTTCTGTCCCTTTTCCATTTTTATAGCATATGGCTAAATCAAACATTGCAACTTTATCACCATTTTCTGCTGCTTTTTGATACCAATAAAAGGCTTTTTCTAAAACCTTTTCTGTATTTTCGTAAAATATGGATAAATTAAACATTGCAGCTTTATCACCAATTTCTGCTGCTTTTTGATACCAATAATAGGCTTTTTCTAAAACCTTTTCTGTACCTTCTCCATTTTCGTAACATATGGCTAAATTAAACATTGCAACTTTATTCCCATTTTCTGCTGCTTTTTGATACCAATAAAAGGCTTTTTTTAAATTTTTTTCTACTCCTTCTCCATTTCTATATCTGTTGGCTAAATTATTCATTGCTCTAATATAATCTTTATCCGCTGCTTTTTGATACCAATAAAAGGCTTTTCCTAAATTCTTTTCTGTTCCTTCTCCATTTTCATAACACATGGCTAAATTAAACATTGCAATTTTATCACTATTCTCTGCTGCTTTTTGATACCAATAAAAGGCTTTTTCTAAATTCTTTCCTGTTCCTTTTCCATTATTATAACATATGGCTAAATTAATCATTGCAACTGTATCGCCATTTTCCGCTGCTTTATGATACAAATAAAAGTTTTTTTCTAAAGTTTTTTTATTTTCATAATTTGTAGCTAAATTAAATATTTCAACATTATCACCATCTTTTGCTGCCTTTTGATACCAATAAAAAGCCTTTCCTAAATTCTTTTCTGTTCCTTCTCCATTTTCATAACATGTGGCTAAATTAAACATTGCAACTTTATCACCATTTTCTGCTGCTTTTTGATACCAATAAAAGGCTTTTTCTAAATTCTTTTCTGTTCCTTCTCCGTTCTTATAACATACAGCTGAAATATACATTGCAACTTTATCACCATTTTCTGCTGATTTTTGATACCAATAAAATGCTTTTTCTAAATTCTTTTTTGTTCCTTTTCCATTGTTATAGCATATGGCAAAATTATACATTGCAATTATATCACCATTTTCTGCTGCTTTTTGATACCAATAAATAGCTTTTTTTAAATTCTTTTCTGTTCCTAATCCATTGTCATAACACATGGCTAAATTATTCATTGCTTTAATATAATCTTTTTCTGCTGCTTTTTGATACCAATAAAAAGTTTTTTCTAAGTTCTTTTCTGTTCCTTTTCCATTTTTATAACATGTGGCTAAATTAAACATTGCAAATATATCATTATTTTCTGCTGCTTTTTGATACAAATAAAAGGCTTTTTCTAAATTTTTTTCTGTTCCTTCTCCATTTTCGTAACATATGGCTAAACTATTCATCGCTTTAATATAATCTTTTTCTGTTGCTTTTTGATACCAATAAAAAGCTATTTCTAAATTCTTTTCTGTTCCTTTTCCATTTTTATAACATATAGCTAATTTAAACATTGCAATTTTATCACCATTTTCTGCCGCTTTTTGATACAAATAAAAGGCTTTTTCTTTATTCTCTTCTGTTCCTTTTCCATTTTTATAACATATGGCTAAATTAAACATTGCAACATAATTACCATTTTCTGCCGCTTTTTGATACCAATAAAAAGCTTTTTCTAAATTTTTTTCTGTACCTTCTCCATTTCTATATCTATTGGCTAAATTAAACATTGCAATTTTATCACCATTTTCTGCTGCTTTTTGATACCAATAAAAAGCTTTTTCTATATTCTTTTCTATTCCTTTTCCATTTTTATAACATATAGCTAAATTATTCATTGCAACTTTATCACCATTTTCTGCTGCTTTTTGGTACCAATAAAATACTCTTTCTAATTTTTTTTCCGTTCCTTTTTCATTTTTATAACATATAGTTAAACTATTCATTGAAACTTCATCATCATTTTCTGCTGTTTTTTGATTCTGATGAATTTCATTTTTTTCGATATTAATTACATTTTTATAAAAAATGTCAATTTCATTTTGCGTTTTACTGCGTTTTTGTTCAGACATTTTTTTTTTAATAATGAATTAAAACAATTATCTTTGTGAGCTTTATTATATTATAGTAGATCAACAGTTTGGTGTAATAGACGTTCTTGCTTTATAGAAGGATATTCAGTACGGTGCAATTTTGTAAATCAGTACGGTACAGTTGATCAGTTGGTACCGGTATCGTTACTCTCGACGCAGATCGTACTCTATAGCTTAGTATATAGGATAACATAGTAATTATTCGGACATCAATGTCCATTTCACATGTGGTTATTCGGACATCAATATCCACTTCACATGTGGTTATTCGGACATCAATATCCATTTCACATGTAGTTATTTGTACATTAATGTCTATTTAACCATAATGGTAATTTGGACACCAATGTCCATTTTTGAGTATATATAGGACAAATATGGTACGGTACGGAATTTTTGGAATTTTTGAAAATTTGATCAATCGTATCAGAAATGGTTGAAGAAAAACGCACAGAAAAAATGTGATCGGCAATCATATAATCGACGAATCAAATGATATTTATCGGTTTTCAATAATTCATACGCCGAATAATTTTTTTATTGTTGCGAGTTGCGACGCAGCGTCTTATAGTAAACCAACTGTTACAACACTTAAAACTCCTATAATTGCGTATACATACCTTACAGTGCATATACAATTGAAAACTTCAGTTTTTATTTTAAAAAGGACTACACGACCTTAGAAGAAGCTTCCGCCTCATACATTTTCGCCCACAGCGGCAAGAGTTTTTCAGCCTCATTCTATTCTTGAAAACATACTTTTATACAACTATGCATATTTTTAACTTTATTCTAGAAATAACTATAAACTTATTACACATTTATTATGTCACTCTCAAGGCCAAATTCGTCTAAAAATGATCCTTGATAGCCAATCATAATTTTATTAATTGATCGTGTCTTAGCGCCTTAATTTCGCATGTAGATTATATTTCCTTAGTGAAACCAAAATGGAACCAACGATGAGTTGAAATAGAACCGGACTATCCACTCCCATTCATATGAAAGTTCTTTTAATGATACCATCTTTAATATCAAGAGGTATTGTCATAAATTATGTATAAAAGGTGATTTTATACCAGATAAATTCGGGAGAAATCGAATTGAAAGAAACTTAGGATAATTGTTGTAACTTATAACGAACTTTCCATGTCGAGTATTGATTTCATGAGCATTAATTATTACTTTTAATGTAAAGAATTCCTCGTGATAAAAAAAAATGCAAATTTTTTTTTTCATGCTTACACCGTAGTATTCAATTTCCCCTGAGTTGAGGGTAATGCAGTATTAAATTATGTAAATTAAGAGATGAGAGATGAAGTTACTTAGAACATATTAATAAAAAAAGAACTTTTGTTTTTATTTTTATATCTTGGAAGAACATAATTTAGGTACAGACTACAGGTAACTATAAAATTATTAAGTAGAAGCCTCCCGTCTTTCGATGGAAAAAATAAAATATAACTATTTAATACATAGATTTTCGTAATATTCATAATATTTTTGAATAGTTAAAAAGAATTCTTAATAATTTTTTAGTCAATAACGATCTTTGTACGATAACATTTGACAAATAAATATTATTTTTAGAATGAAAATACTTGAAAAATCGCTTTAAATTTTCTTCAGAGTAAGTAGAAAATCAAAAATTACGTTTTGGATATTTATTATTGTGTAAAACAAAAAAAATTAGTTTACGTCATATAATGGTATGTGAATACATAAGAGAAAGCATTATGTATAAAATAGGTGCTAATTAAGCTATTATACAGTATAATCATATATTTTAGCGCCTATAGGATACTCTCGTCATATAAATGTACAATGAAACATATCCATGAAAAGAAAACGTGCATCTTACTCCCTAAATAGTAAATACTGGTATTAAATGAATCTAAAAGATATTGAAATACAAACACAATGTAATATAATGATTAAGTATTTTTATCATAAAAAAAAAAGACAAATAAAGATCAATGGATATTAATTGAATCAATTGAATCACAAAAAAGAGACCTAATTTTATACATTTACAAACCTATTTTTTAACTAAAGTTAAAATCAAAATTGAACCAAAAAGGATAAAAACAAACCAAAAATTGTATAAACTAAAAAAGACTAACCTGATTATATATATAAGCTATCTTCAATTTATTGGTTAATTATTAGGTTACAGCACGATTTCCCGACAGAACATTTGCCCGACAGGTTTGGCTAGAGTTATCCAGAGTTATGCACGAACACGTGATCAGACGTTAGGCTGTCGTGAAAATATCCCGTCGGGAAACAGTCCGTAAGCGAATTATACAAGACATTCTTGGAAATTGGAAAAAAATGAGAGATTTTATTTTTATAATTTTATAATAAAGTTACAGTAATCATTAATTTTTTGATGAGATCAATAGGTACTGTGAGCCTCTGAATGAGCTTAAAGACTTGGATATTAATGTCCAAAGAAAGAAATTGAAATGATGTTTAATTTGTAAATTTTTCCTGCAAAATTTGATGTTGATAATTAAATTCGTATTTGAAAAAACATTATTATTAACTCAGCTTTTTATTGTCAATTAATCATACAGTCTTTCATATTCGGTGAATAAATTTTGTAGTAATCGTGTTGCAAGTACATATAAATAAAATTGTCGATTGTGATAGGGACAAAACGGGGGTTAAACCAAATTTTGCTAATTCAGTACAGTAATAATTTTTTTAATGTAATACTGTACTTAGGTGTCACAGGTGTCACATTTCATCATGTCTTAAAACGAGTTTCTTACTTACTGCGGTCGTATTACGCGATTATCTATAAAAAGTTAAACTGTTAACGTTAAAATAATTTCTATCTGGTCGCAGCAGTAAAAAATGAACATCCTTTTTCAAATATAGATCATCAGTTTGTTTTGATCACGATGTTCTTTTTATGCTATTGTTTATTTACAAACTTGATATCATTCTTTATTTCTTTTATTCTTTTATTCTTTTATAACTTATTGTGGACTCATTGTACTTCCGATTAGTAATTCTTTTATTAACTGCGGTCAAAAAAACCTTAATTCTTGTAACAAAAAAAAAAAATTGCTTTTGTTTATATCATTCATTGTTATTTTTCTTTTTCTTTTCAACGCTTGATACGTCATAATCTCATTAAATAAAAAATTGTATATATAAATGAATAAAATTTCTCCCTTACATGCAATAAAAAAAAAAATTTCCTGTTTGACAATAAAAAACGAAAAAATATTATTCAAATAATTTGTAATATTTAAACCATGTCTACAAACTCAAATACATCCTCAACTTCAAATAATAACAATCCATCGTCTTCATCTCAAACTCAACCTAATAATAACGTTTATAGTGGCGTTAATAGCCAAGGAAACAGTTGGACTCATCGTGGAGACTCAGTAGCACCTGGCGGTTCTTTTCATTACTCAAACAATGATGGTTCCTATTATTATCAAAATCCTAACGGTTCGAGGTATTACAACGATGGAAAAGGAAATTCTTATTATGAAAGAGAATGAATTTTTAATATTTATTTAGCATTATCTCTTTTTCCTTTTCTCTTTGAAATTTCTCTTTTTTTTTTTCTTTTTTTTCTATTATTCCTTTTATTTATTTATTTATTTATTTATTTTATTTTATATCCATTTTTTTTCTTGATGTATGTATGTCATTTTATTATATGCAGTTATTTTTATGAAATAAAGTTATAAATTTTAAATTTTAAGTTTTAAAATTTTGAAGTTACATTTCTAATGCATTATTAACCAACTGCAACTGCTTATTGCAGTAATATTGCAAATATCTTCTGCTACTTTGAAAAATTGTTTCTAAAATTGATTGCAAAAATCATACCTTGTTAGTTTCACTCATGTGAAATTATCAAGATGATACCAAATTATGCAGAATATACAAAAAATATTATCGGGTTATAGTAAAGTTCATCTGTCTCGTGATTGTATTCCTCAATTCTGCTGCGACAGCCTTTGTACCACGCTTGACATCATTTTTTATTTATTAAATCTACTTGTGAATGATAAGTTACTTATTACGGTATTTAAAAGAACATCGTGATCAAAATAATGTGTAACAGTTAATCGTTGCTTATTATTAAATATATTGAACTTTCATAGAATTTACTTTTAAAGATATATTGCACAAAACGAGTTTCTGTTATTGTTGGTGTTATTTTGATTTTATGACTGAACGTATCTTAAAATCTTATCGAAGCGTGTGAAAATTCTGAAAATTCCTCTATCTCATCAATAATATATAAAACCTCCTACTTGCACGAAATTTCCCTCCAATAAAAAAAATTCTTCCGCGAAACAATTCAAATCTTATTCAAGTAATTTGTGATATAAAATCATGTCTACGAACTCCGATACTTCATCAACATCAAATAATAATACTTCATCTCAAACTCAACCTTCAAATAGTAACGATAACGTTTATAAAGGCGTTAATGATCAAGGAAATAAATGGACTCATCGTGGAGACTCAGTAGCACCTGGCGGTTCTTTTCGTTACTCCAACAATGATGGTTCTTATTATTATCAAAATCCTAACGGTTCGAGGTATTTTAACGATGGAAAAGGAAATTCTTTTTTCAAAGAATTTTGAAATATTATGAATTTTTTTAGTATTTTTTTTTTTCTTTAGAATTTTTTCCCCCTCAAAATTTATCATTTCCGTCTTTTTTCTCATTTTTTTTTTTTTTGATAATGATAGTTTTTTTTTTATACCTCTCATGTTCTGTTATTTTTGTCATTATATTTCTATTAATGTCCTTTTTTTATCGTTTTAACTATGTCTAGAAAGCTATCATGAAATAAAGTTTTGAATTTTAAAATGTTGACGTTTTATTAAAAATATACATGAACATTATATACACTTGTTGCTGCGTGTGCAATACCATGTAATACCAAACACAATTAATAACTATATCTATAAGTGATACTGTTGATAGGGAACTGTCGTAGTATACTTTATAACGTATCATCGCTATTTTCATTTCACATGTGGTTACTTAAAAAACTCGATTTATTACAAAATGCCGATGAGATTATATTTCACTGATGGTATCATCTTTTAAAAATAGCAGGATCAAAGACAGGAAATACCCAAATTGCTTTTGAATTTACATCAACTAAAAAAGAAACTGATGTAGATGTAATGGTATCAACAGAAAATAATTTTGGTGAATCTAAAAATCTTGGGAAAGCGGCAACGATCTCCATCAAAAGAAGCTTATTTTCTCAAGTGTACGAATTATATTTGAATAGGTAGTATCCAGGTCATTGGACTCTAAAGGAACGTAAAGAACGTGAAATATTTCAAGCGTTGATCTAAAATATTTTGATGATATGAACGAAGATCTATTGCCAACAAAATTAACAAATACTTGTCGAACATAGAATATTTGAATTTGTTGCGACTTAAAATAACTTTTTGATTAGAATGAATTGCGAGAAGATATAAAGATATATGTTGTGCCTCAAGTGTTTGATTCACGTCAGTTGATAACTGACGCGCGTCACTTATCGATTGTCAATTTTTCCCTGACGCAAATTAATTTTATAATACAATATTTTTTTAACTACCAAATTTTTTTTACTAGAATTCTTTTACAAATAAGGACACATACTTGTAATTACTCTTAGTTTTTGTAAGTATTAGGTTTAAAGGCTTGAAATTGACGTTCAGATCTCTTGAAAATTGTATTTTTGAAAGTATCGTTGTTAAATTTTTGTATTTTAATACTAAGAACATTTACTGATGCTTTTTTTTGTAGATTTCAAACTTGAAGATTTGAAATTAACGTCCAGAATTATTGGAAGGATATTTGAAGATATGGATTATCGTTAAAAGGTATTTTGAGTGTTGAATGTTTTCTTTATTATAAGACAACCTTTGATTTTGTATTTGCTGTATATTTGTATTAGAAATAAAGCTTTATTGAGAAACAATGTTATGTATAATTTTTATTTTACAAATTTTATTTAGTTGCATTTGTTTTACATGAACGACCACCATGACATCTATTTCCACAAAACTACATTTCATGCAATTACATTTACTTGGACAGGTTACAAACGCAGAAATTAAGGCAAATTGTTAAGTTCAGGAAAAGACATTGTACCAAGTGGCTCAATTAATCAATTTTTCCAGGTGAATAATATGAATTAATAATCCCAAATCTTGATATTGATTATTTTCTGTAATTTATATAATTTTACATGGAAGTATAGGACGAACGATCAATTTTGAAATAGAAATTCCCACTGATTCCCCTACTTCATATTCTTTAGACTTTTATTTTCATATTAATTTGATTTGCCATTTGGTTGGTATAAATTTGAAGGTCCCGGCGTACAGCCTCTTAAAATTTCATGTCCTGTTAATGTAGCTTCAAGACCTTTGATGATGAGGCTGCATTTGTAATATTTTCAAGGATCGGATGGTAGGTTTTTAGGGTTGATTCGTCCAAATGTATTTAATTTATCGTTTCAATAGTTTCAATAATATTAATACTCATATTATCATCATTTGACCGCTATTCAATATATTATCTGCAATTGGATTTATATCTAAGCGCAACAGCGTAGATGTAGATGATGATGATGAAGCTGTAGTAGGTTTTGCTGAAGTGACTGATGGTAGTGGAGTAAGATGCTAGTGTTGGAGAAAAAGTTGTGCCTACTGGTAATAGGAAAGTAGAGTTTAAAATTATTGAAAAAACGTAAGTTAATTTTTATTTTATTTTTCTTTTTAACTTTCTGTATTTTTCATTATTTCTAGTTTTTTAATTTTTACACTGTTTAATTAAATTTTTTACTTTTAAAAAAATATTTCAATTATTGTTATTTTTTTTTCTTAATTTCACATTTTTTAATTAATTTTGTATTTTAATTAAATTGTTTTTTTAGATTTTATATTATTAATTTTTTAATTTTTATATTTTTGGGGTATCAAATTTTTTTCAAAGAATAATAAAAATTATTAATGTCGTGAATGTTCACCAATCATAGCATCATCCAAGTTTTCAGTTAAAATATTTTAAAAAATCTTTGACATCAATTGCTTCAAGTATTGTTTCTTCATCATAAATATCTTCGTTAAACAATTCTTCAACCTCCACGAGTCTTACCACTAGATACAGGCTCATGAGAAGTTTTTTTGTTAGAACGGCAATATGAAGAATGATTAACTACCGAACGAAGCCCAACAGATCAATTGTTTCCTCTCGCCATTTTCCTGATTTTTGTTTCAATATTCAATTTGCTCTTCCTACAAGACCTTGGCTTTGAGGATGACATGGACGGCCATTAATTATTTTTACTGTTAGCCATCATTTTTAGGTTTTCCACCTACAATTCTTCAATCAGATAATGGAAAAAAGTTTATTGCTACAATAATAAAAAAGGTTAAATAAATAAGCAGCCACCTGATGTTAAAGCTTTTACCCGGGAAAAACGTGTAAAATGTATGATAAATCGATTAAATCCATCTGTTAATACAAAACAAACATTTATTTTAATGAAAATGAATATTAATTTTTAAAAATATACTAGAACGCACTTTTCGCAATAATTGGCGAATAGCACAATTATTACAATTATTAACAAAATTTTCAACTAAATCTTGCTTTATCCAACTCCATCTTTCTTTAATTGATTTCAAAATCTGCTTTACCCTCCATGCTGTTGCTGCATGTGTTTGGCATAACACTTCATCATACATATTTTCGACCACAAGAACTGGTTTGTTATCTGCTTTGACTAATACTCTAAATTTCTCCAGGAACAACTAAGTTCTTCAGGATGAAATATTTTATTGCCAAACATTGGATATTTTTTTCATAAGTAAGGATATTTTGGGATTTGATAAAACCAGTTTGAAACGTTATTTATTAAGGTTTCACTAATAAAAGTATACTCCATGAGCCTATGTTAAAAAGCCACTGTAGAATATATGGGAGGGTTGAATGATAACTAACGCAACATTATTTGTCAATCGATAAGTGGCGCGAATCAACACTTGAGGCACAACATATATGAAGAATACATTATGAAAGAAAAGAATATTTAGCCATTCTTTTCGAAGTGGTGTTTATTATCGATTGTTATTTAATTTTGAAAAGATGAATTTTTTATTGAAAATTTTTTTTCTTTTTATATAATCGACAACATATGAAATGTTTTGCTTGGCCGTCTGAAAAAATTCATTTCTTATTATAAAAAAAAAGTTTTATATATACTTTATAATGTTAAACAATTAAATATTTCATACCAGCAATAATTTATTTTTTTTATAATATTATAATCGTTTCTAATTGTGTCCACAAATTTTATATAAGATAGTCTATATAAAATATATTTTATGTATCTTGATTTAGCGTAAGTGTTGAAGTATTTTAAATAAATAAATATATATATATATAATGGTATACATACAAGTTAATTATTCTTTTTTCCTGCCATTACTATTAAATTTATACACTATCAATATCTTGATTTCTCTATGATTGATGTCAAAATAAAATTTATTGAAATTTAAATTTTCTTAAAAGAACTATTTAAAATTATGGTTTAAAAAAATAAATATAATTTTTTTAACATTTATCTCTAACTTATTTCTTTTGTAATAAAAAAATGAAATGAAACAAATTGTAAACTTTTTTATGAATATAAACCAATAAATTACCTATTATTTAAAAATGGGAAATGATACTATAAATCATAACTAATTATGTTTAAAGAATATCTTTTAATTCAAGCTGAAAAATATTTAAAAGCTTCTGGAACATTATTTTTCTAATAAAATATATTATTTCTTATATTTTTTCTTAAATAATAGAAATATTATTGAAATTTAATAAAAACCAACTATTTAGAAAGAAAAAAACTTTAATTGTAATATTATTGATTCTAATTTACTAAAAAAAATAACAAGACATATTCTTGAATTCATACAAGGAAACAAATAGAAATATATATATATATAAAGGATAAAAGTTAAAGAGATTAATAGTATAATTATTCGAACTCTATTTCTTCTTCCTTTATATATACTACTTTACTTTTAAATCTAATGATACCCAAATTTTCATATTTTTCTATTATTTCCATATTTTGATGATAAATAAAATCACAACAATCCTCATAATTTTTATAATCAATATACTCATAATTCTCATAATCCTCATCATTCTTCTCATGTTTACAATTATTTATTATATCATAAACAATATTCTTATAATATTCATTATTATATACTTCATAATACTCATCAATAGCTTCATTACTAATCATTATTAATGTAAGTAATTTTACTGATTTTCTATTCTTCCAGCTTATAAAAAATGATTCCAAATTTTTTGGATGTATAAAGTCTAATTTTGAATTGTATAATGTCAATTCACAAAAATCTTTTGGTGAATAATTTGCAACAATTTCAAGTATTGTTTCACTCATACATTTTGCTTCACATAGAATTTTAATGAATTTTAAATATTGACAACTAATAAATATTGATTTCAGCATATCTATTTCATCATCATTAATTCTTATAATAAGTTTGTTAAGGTTTAGACAAAAATTTGCAATAGACAAGTTCAAATCATTATTTAAATCACTCTTTAGAATAGGTTTTGATATCCCTTCACTTATGTAAAGCTTATTAAGATTTTTTCCATTGATTTCTAAAAATTTCATTAAATATTCAGGTTTTGGACATTGATAAGGAATTTTTAAAATTTTTAATTTAGGAAAATTAACATATTGTAGTTTTTCAAAATCTTTAACATTAATATATGGTCTAAAATCAGATGAGAAGAAAGAAAATATAACTTCTTGTAAATTTTTAAATAATTCTATAAATGAAAATGGTATATCAACATAATCACTATTACAATAAAGATGTAATTTTGTTAATATATTCATTATGTTGGAGTGTTTTGTTAAAGTAGGTATAATATTTACCCAACCAGTATAATTACAAACTCTTAAAGTTAAGCTTTTCAAATTATTTTGTAAAAAAATTAATTTTTTTAACTCATTTGAAGCATTATTGTTATCATTAAATAATATGGAAATCGATTGTATGTTATGACATGTTTGAGATAACTGATGACAAAAATCAGAAGGGAGATTTGAATCGCAGTATAATTTTGAAAGATTTCTCATTCCAGGAAAACAAGGGAAAGAAAGGTTATTAAAGTTATTTACTTGGTTATAATAAGTAAATACTTTCAAAGAAGATTGATTTACAAACATTTTGACAATTTCATTTATGACTAAATAATTTAATGAAACATGTAGTGAATATTGTATAGATAGTATTTTAAGGGAATCATACACTATACTCTTAATCCCAGGAATTGAAAGGACTTTGCAAAATGTTGCATAATTAAAAAATGGTGACTTTAAAGAAGTTGTTGGAATAAAAATTTCATTTTTATATAAATGTTCTTTTGATTCATTGGGAAGACAGGCAATTAATGTATTGAAAAATGATAATCTTACACTCGATGATTTTGAAGTATGATAAATATTGTCAACAATGTTGTTAATATCCCTCCACAAAATTCTGACAAAAATTTCGCACAAAAGATGATTAGCTAACAAACATGAATGTATAGTAGGTATATCTTTTTCTAAATATTCAGAGATTTCATATAAACAGTCAATTGGAAGTGTTGTAAATTGACGTGCCATTTTTTATTAATGAAAGCTATTCGTGTTTAAATTTTCATTGACCAACTCATTGTGTGAATAAACTATATACGCTTTTACGCCATTATGATGTCATTTTCTAGCAAAATAATCCGATTGGTAAGTGGTAACGCAATGCATCGTATGACATTTCCAAAGTTTTTTTCGATGTTGATCAATTGACATGTGATTTGTAATTCTGGCCTAAATTTATCTCTGGGCAGCTTTTAAGCTTCGTACTTTGCTTAATTAGTACTAAACTATACAAGGAATAATGTTGGGCAAATATTTAAATTTCGGCCAAATTAATGTCAGATGCTTATCGAAAATGCGATTGGGTATTGCTATGTGATAAGAACTTACGCTTTTTTAAACTCACAATTTAATTTTTATAAATGAAAATTACTATATTTTTAATGATCTCTAATACTTTTTTCAACTTCAAAAATATTATTTTATTATATATAGAAATACAGTACATTTATTGATTTGGAAAGAAACAAAAATTTATTCATGAAATAAAATTACATGAATTATTTTATTTACTCAATCTAAATTAAGATATAAAGTATTTTAGTATTGTACGACATATTTTCATTTAAAGTATTCATTATCAAGTTATAATATAAATGAATTTAATTGTTACAAATTTTTTGATTAGTCACGCGATTTCCAAAATTTAAAATTCGATTAAGAACAGATCGTATAATTATTAAACATTATATAGTATTTGTTCAAGACTAACTTCATACATATTTATTTTTTAAAATCATCTGTCACTGTTTATAATTTTACTATTATTTCATTTATTTTATTTTATTTTATTTTTTTAAATAAATTAAATATTCAAATTATAAAGTTTACTATAAGATCGAAATTATTTTAATAACAAATAATTCTTACAAATCCCACTTAAAAACATCTCTCATAAATCACTTTAATTTGCAAAATGTAACTGGAGACTACAAAATGCTAATTTGTAAAGTAATAAGTAGGCTAATTACTTGTAGCAATATTTATAAAAGCTGTGCAAGTAAGCCTAGTATAACAACTGTCCGGAATGACACAAACTCACATGACTATTATTTTCACCATTTTATTTTAATAATTTGACTAAGTAGAGATTAAAAGCTCACTGGCATCAATTAAACCATGAAGGTTAAATACGCTGGGGAAGTAATTGTTAATGTGCAATTATTTTAACCGTTTAACAATTTATTTCAAGGGATGTAACTAGTATTAGTATAATACATTAATGAATGAAAAATATTAAAACTACAAAGCAAAGAGGAGAAGTATCATTCAATTAACTATAACAAATTACCCCTAGTAAAAAAATAATAAGTGCAGTAGTACTGCAAATTTAAAATGATAGTTAATGAGATGAGGAAAAATTAGACTATTTTCAACATGATTCATGACTTTTTAATGAACAATTTAGCTATTCCTTGTTCTGTATTTACTGTTATTTCATTCGTTGGATCAACTGAAACAAGAAATTAGTATATATTAACTAAGGCAAAATGCCAAAATATATAATAAAATACTCAGTTTTTATTACAACTTACTTTATAGGTAAGAGAATCTTCAAATCAAATCCTGGGGACTTATTGTAATCAATTCTGATTGTTAATTGTTTCTTTGAAATGATACAACTACAGAATTATTAAAGTATACTTGCCTAGTTGTGGAGAGTGAAGAGTAAAAAAATTATTGAAAAGTATCCAGAGTATTCATGCAAATGCACTTAAAACAAAAAGAAATTGAGATTACAATTGCTATATTTATAGTAATAAGCATCATTAAACTTTATATACATACAATATATATAAATAAATGATTATATAATAAATTAAATAAATATTAAAAAATAAATTAAGTAAATAAATATATAAAATAAATTTTCAAGGATTCCTTGATGAAATTTACTGTACTGTACTATATGAACTTCTGTTAAAATACCGTACAGTACAGTTTAGCTGACTACTCTGAGGGTAACAATTTTATAACAAAATTTATCATGAACTAATAAGCTTAGAGGTAAAATTTATTATAATATTTTTGCAAATTTTGCAATAAATCTATACGGGAAGAGGATTTATGGTAGAACATTCAGCTTACAATTGATTATCGCATATAAATTAATTGTATGAGGATTCTATAAATTTTTTTAATCAAGGATCTGCTGAGGCTTATTAATTATGGAGAATAAAGGATTCTTTGTGGACGGTGGACCCGACCATTAAAGTATTACTGATGGCGATCAGAATTATCCGGCCACTTTTCAAGTTGGAAAAACTTCTATATATATAATACAGCAATAATAAAAATTTAAGTTAAACAAATTCATTATGTCTTTGTTTATTAATTTAGGTAAATTTTTAATAATAAATTCTATCTCCATTTGAAAAATAACTCTCCAATTCGATGAGATATGCTATTTATATATTTTTTATAATATTCTGGAGGAATACCTTTCAATGCATAGAAAATAACCATCATTGATTAATACACTCATTACACGTTTTGGACATATGTAATGACAATTCTGGGATTCCTGGCTTATGAGTTACGAGTAAAAATGTCATTATATACGGTAGCTTATATTTGTCTTATTAACTTAGCCTGTTATTTATGTGATTCACGTGATTTATCATAAATATATGATTATTATCTAATTATTCTATTATTAAGTGATAATACAATGCAATATAGCGTGGTGGACCATACAAAAATAAATTACAAAAAATCGTGCATACCCCGTGATATATGAGTTTACGATTATTTTATCACCCTGTGGCTGTGGTGCATCTCCTCTCCGTAAAAAAAGTTGATCCCGTTTTTTATATTCCAACTTTTTTCCATAAAAGGCTCATATTTCCGGAATTAATAACCTTATATCACGGAATCAAAATATCATCATTTTCCGTGAATGGATCCGTGAAAGGTACTTATCTGTATCCGTTTAACATGTGATAAATTATATCAGATGTACGGGTGAATCGCTTAAGAAAATAAATAGTTATAATAGTTTATATTATAATAAAATAAACATAGAATCGCAGTTACCACGTTCTGTAAAACTCCGTAAAAGTGAGCATTATTTTTACCAATCCAGTAAATAATTTATTACGCTCTATGCGGAAAGAAGAAAAACTTTGCCAGAAAACTTCAAATCTGTAAAAGGGTAGAAGCTTCCATGTTATATATTTTGTATTTTTAAATAAAGATATATTTTATATCATGATGAGTCAAAGAGTCGTATTAAACTCTCTAGATAGTGTTATAAAATGCGCACTATATTGACTTAAAAAATAAAAATAAAAATGGGAAATTTTAATTATTGACATTTACAGTCGTATATTACATAAGATTACATACCAATTGGCTTGCGTGTTATTAAGTACATTCTGTACATTCTGTACATTCGCACTTTGTAACATATCTAAAACGTCGTTACCAATTATCTTGTGTTATGTACAATATATCTAACATCATAAACTTTACTACAATCTAACAACAAAATATATTCATTTTTTTTTCTTTTGATCTCATGTGCACTAATCGGATTTTTTACTCCATTTTTACATCGAATAAATTATAAGCATAAGTATTATAATTTGTATTTAATTGAAGAGAATTAAGGCGACGAGATGATGAAGGCTGTGATATATTTTGATGATTTAAATTAAAATCGTAACGAGATGATGAAGGCTGTGATATGTTTTGATGATTCAAATTAAAATCACGAGATGATAAAGCGTGTGAAATAGTTTGTTGATTTGAAGTAAATTCATATGTCATATTATCAACAAACTCTTTCAATGTGCTAAAGACTTTTGTATTAAATCTGACTTCGCTATGCTTATCCCAAACATGTTTCCTCATGGCTATAAGACGATTTTGGTATTGGTAAATTGGTAACTTGGGTAACTTGGCAATCATATAAGCTAAAAAGACAAATTCTACCGTAGAAAATTTATGACCATAACGGAATAATTCAGCATCAACATTGATCATCTCTTCTATAATTGTATAAACATGTTTAGTTAATGCCTTGAAACCTTCAGAAACTTCACGATCTCTTTTTAAATATTTAGTAATTGTGATGGGAGTGGCATTAAATCTTTCTGGTTCAGTTTCAATCATGTGTAAAGATTGTGAAATAATTTGAAAAGGTCGAGAACGCTTATTATCCAATATTAAAGAAAGGGTTGTTGAATATTGATTGTGGATTGCATGAGCAAAATCAGCTATTGGGCTGCTAATAGCCTGAAGTCTTTCTGCGGGAGTTAATGCAATTCCCAATTGTACACGACTGAATATTTCTTGTTCTTGTTGCAGAGTAAGATCGTAGTATTCAACTAAATATTAAAAAAGATCATTAGGAAAAATGATAAGCCCGCTATCATCAGAAAATTTTTTTTATCGACAACTTACCACAAATAAATTCTGAACATTCAAATAATTCACGTTCAGAATCTGTTAATGAATCTTTATCATTAGGACCTTTATAAAAACGCTTGTTTGCATAACCACTTGAAGGATTAATATGAGGTATCTCGTTATTTATAAACCTATAATGATTTGATTAATAATGTATTTGTCATAAGAGTGAAATATTGTAAAAAAAATATATTATACTTACTTTCTGATTGATGTGAGACGTTGTTTACCATCAATACAAACACGCACCCATCTTTTATCATCCAACTTTTTACAAGAGAAAATTACAGGTGGGATATAAAAGTTGTTAAGCATAGAGTCTGTCTCTTATACACATCTAGATGTGTATAAGAGACAGTACTACATCTATTATAAAGTAAGTAGAGGTTAAACATATATATATTGTTTTTACATGCACATGCATGCATTTTTCTTTTTTTTTTTTTGGTAGAAATAATAATAAAAAGAAGAGAAATTATATAATATTATTTTAAAGCATAAGTACCTCTTTGAAATTCAGGATCCAAGTCGATCAAGCCCTTTTGTAACCAGTTATACAACTTATATATGGTATGGGAAACATTTCTTGGTTTTGTGAGTGCTTCATCCATAGTTTCGATAGGTTAGATAGGTTTGAGTATTTTAATAATTTTTAGAAAAATGTTTATGAGAAAATAGCAATAGCAATTTTTTTCCAACTTTTTATTATTTATATTTGTTTTTTGAAATGGCCATTATTTATACTTTTTCTGAAAGTCTATAATCTTCGATTGATTGATTTACACAATATTAGTCAAATGTTAATTTTTTAAGGAAAAATATTTATCATCAATTAGTCATACTTATGGTCATATATAAATTTCTTTCAAGGAATTAAAAAAAAGTATAAGTTGATGAATGGTCTGAGTATGTAATAATTTTCATTTACATCAATCATATAAAGTATTAGTCATAATAATAGTCAAATTTCAAAATATTAGTCATATTAAGTTTCATAATAATAAATTGCTGGAAATATTTTATTGGTTACTTCAGTGTTACTTCATATCATACTCATATTCGATGTAATGACACAAGTTACACAAAAAAAGTTACTTTTCTGGCTTATTTATTTTTAATTATAACGAAAAACTATCAGTATGTCAGACTCTTTATGACACAAATGAGCTTACAGACCTCACCTTTTTTCGTAATCTAAAATTATTGAGTCAGCAACATTTTTTTGAAGTTGTAATAGGATAAATATTTTCTTTTAACTTCAAAAATTAAAGAGTATTTTGATTATAGAATCTGTACGATAAAAGAGTGGAAGAAGTGAAAGAATCATTTGAAGAACATGATGAAGTTTTAGGTATTTATTAAAATCATTATAGAACTTTCACAAAATCATTATAGTACGTTCACAAAATCTTAAATAGATCAAAACTCATCTATTAAATTTTTAGCACATTTAGAATATGTGAAAAGTGAAGTTTATAAAAATGAAACCAAATTCACATCAGTTAATGCTACTGGAAGGATATCAATTAGTAAGACTATTAGTGCTTTCTTGATTAGTTAAAGCAAAAGTCACAAGATTTTTTCAGCATTTTAGAGGGACCAGTGGACATAATTTTTTCACTGAAGAACCAAATATTGGAAATATGTCTAGGTTCGCGCCAACAATCATTAGAAGATCAGGAAGGAGAGTGCATTTTTTTACTTGCAACCTGCTAAATACGAGAACAATAAAAATCCCAAGATGAATTACCATCTCTGAAATTTTTATCTGAGTGAAATGCACAAGAACAAAACTCTAAATAATTTTTATGAATTTCACAAAAATTCCATAGAAATCCACAAGAATTTCATGTAATATAGCAAAAAAAAAATTTTGCCATTCACGCGGCAATTATTATATTTTAACAAAGTACTTTAAAAATAAGTTACACAATATAAATAAATGAAATTTTAAATTTTGGACTTTGTTGTGTATAGATGACCACCACCATATTTAATTTTAAAATTGCTATAGATAAAGAAATCAAGAAGCATGTAAAGAAAAAATAAGGAACGCGCAGTGACATGGAATACGAAGAGAATGAAGACGGTTTCAGAGAAGTTAAAAAAGAAAGAAGACCTTAGGCCGGGAAGCCTGAAAGCAGGATGGGCCGAAAAAAGAAAAAGGGTCAAAACAACAAGTAGACTAGGTTTGTTAGTATAGAATAATGAGATATACCCATGTATGTAGATAGTTTTAGATAGGTTGGAGTGGGGTTAAAGGTGTTGATCGGGGATGGTAGTTGCCTTGATATGGAGAGAATGAGTAGTTTTAGATTGCTCATTTTCAATGGGTATATTGAAGTTATTCTACTGCTTATGTTTGTACTAGTGCGCAAAATACTAACATTAGCTTTTTTTAATAAATAAATATGCGTTTGTTATTGTAAAANAAAAAAAAATTGCTACGGATCGCTGGAAGCAATTGCAATTTCACAACAATTTGTTTTTAATCAAAAATGGAATGCATTACATAAGATTGCAAAAAAAGAATTTGTATGACGATTAAAGTTGCTTGCCGAAACCTAGGGGTTTAGGCAAGATGGCATTTCGCCGAAAAGCGAAATTCTGCCAAAACTATATTAAAGTTATATTAAAAAACTGGCAAAACTTTAGAGAAAGGTAAAACTGCCAAAACTTATTATAAATGCCGAAACTGCTGAAACTCTGCCAAAACTATAATAAATCTATAGTAAAATTTTGACGAAACTAATCATAGGATTTTGAAAAAGTTTAGACAAGCAACCTTAATGACGATCACCAATTTTAGCCAAATTAAAAAATCACGTTGTAACTAAGGATGGCAACGGTCGGTCATGGTCGGTCATCGGTCAGTTATAACTGGTCAAGAACCTTTGACTGACTGACCGACCATTTGACCGACCGTTTGACCGACTGGTTAACCGATCCTGAAAATGTTTGTGAAATGTAATTTAATTGAAATACTTAATAAAAAATGTTTTTGCAACGTTTTCTATTAAAATAATTAAAAAAACGTTTGCGAAACATTTTTTTTTATTAAATTACATTTCGCAAACGTTTTCAGGATTGGTTAAACAGTCGGTCAAATGGTTGGTTAACCGGTCGGTCAGACCAGTCGGTCAAATGGTTGGTCAGAGGTCTTTGACCGACCGATATCGGTCATGGTCATAACCGGTCATAACCGGTTAATGACCGTAACCGTTGCCATCCCTAGTTGTAACCATGGATATCGAACTTAATAGAATAGATGAATAATATATTTGAATAGAAGATTACATAGTAGAAAATCACATGATTGGATAAATAATTAGCTGGAAAGGATAAATATTTAGGAGAAGAAATGATCTACATGATGTAATGTTTATTAAATGATTAATGACGAACCAATAGATCAATAAGGGGTCGATCGATGCGGCTTAGCAACCAGTTTATCAAGTTCGTCAACAGGAATAATTAGGAGGAGTAACTATAAGCCACAAAAGATAGATTATGGGATAATATGAAAAGATAATATAAAAGATAATATGAAAAGATGATACAAAAAGATAGCACAGCTACAAAAGATGGATTATTTCTTTACAATATAATATTTGAAAGATTATGTTATTTTAAAGAAAAGATAGCACAGCCACAAAAGATGGGTTATAAATTATTTCTTTACGATGTAATATTTGAAAGATAGAAAAGATACATAAAATAGCATATTAAAAATAGCATATTAAAAAAGATAGCATATTAGAAATAGCATATTAGAAAGATAGTACATAAAAGATAACATATAACATAAAATATTAGAAAGAAATAAGAAGTAAGAAAAGAAAGAATAAGAAAGTTGGTTTAAATAAGAGCGGAATGGGAAGTGAATTCGACAGTCGCCAGTGAGGATTTTGAATTTTAGGTAATTTAGTTATTTGTGAATTTTACGAAGATCAAAATATAAATAAAGTACTCTTTACCCATTAATTAATGATTATCGACTCTTTTATACTGTTTTCTTATGATGAAAAAGTATGTTAAATAATGGATTCCTTTACCATTTGATATATGAGAAACGCACGAACATAATAGTTTGGTTAGTCAGAATGTACACAATCATATGGGTGAAGGGTTCATAAATGTTTGTAAAAACATTAATTATTAAAAGTTATTTCGAATATACTTATCTGTTATGGTTCGCCTAAGTTTTAATTAATGTTAAATAAGTATTAAAATGATGAAGTAAATATGAATATAAAGAATTAAGGAGACCCAAGTGTAACTCGTATTATTTTGAGAAACCCAAGTGTGGTTTATTGAGAAGCCCAAGTGTGACTTGTATGTTAAGAAAGTCTGAGACCAGTGACTTTAGAGTCCAAGTGTGGCTAATGTATATTGAGAAGTCCGTGTGTGACTTAGAAAATGATGAAAATTAAAAGTTAAAGATTTAAAACTAAACCAAGCAAGAATATTAATATTTCGCTGAGAGCACATAGAGCTCCGAATGGGTCAGGTCAGGTCAGGTTAATTGATAAACCTGACCTGAAATTTTTTTTCAGGTCAGGTCAGGTCAGGTTATATCAGGTTGTCTGTTTGACCTGACCTGACCTGAAACCTGAAAATTTTCAGGGGTCCCTTTCAGTTACTGATGAATTTTCATCAGATGAGATGCATCGATTTTGGCTGAATTCACAAAATATTAAAGATTCACAGATTTCTGGCAAAGAAGGCTTCCCAGGTGAATTTCTTAAGCAGGTATCTCATAATATACTACTTTCAAGTGAAATGTTAAATTTAATGGTCGAATATTACAATACGACTTACGAATCATTTGGATTTCAGAGGCCTCTTGTAGAAGGTTTAGATAACGATATAATAATTAGGGTCAAAATTAACCAATTCGGAAGGTGTCAGATTGGTTCAGAAGTCTTTGGATCGTCATTATCGTTAAGACATGTAAAAAGTTCGTACGTCTTAGCGAAATTTATTAAGGATGATGAAGATGTCGACACCTACCCAGGTCAAATTCAGTATTATTTTACTCACGTAGTAGACTTTCCGGATGGTCCCATCGAACATTTTCTAGCATACGTTGTCACCCCCGTCTGCCACCCGGTGGTAAACAAAATTCCCTGCTTTAATGTATATTCGTTCTCCACGAAACATTAATATTCTTGCTTGGTTTAGTTTTATTACTACTTAACTTTCAAATTGCGATA